AGTCTGGTCTTTGTAACATCCGCATATATTTCAGTAGACCATAATAAGAAACTTTAGAAGAATGTTTAGGTTTATATCTTTAATTGGCATTCACATTCATGGGACCAGGGATTGTATCCCAGTGGATTTGTGATACAACCTCCTTTGGATTGTTTAGTCCCACTGCCAGGACCACACGTGAGAACACAGATGTGTTGGTAAATGTGCCCCATGCAGCCCTAGGCCGAGGAGAGGGGGTTGAGCACCCTCAGAGCAGCCAAACGTAAATCGTACGTAACGTGAGTGTGGACAGTGGAATTCGTGGCACTTGGTCTCAGTAACTTACATGGAAACATGAAGAGCAAAAGCATAGTTCTGAGCGTGATTGTACCTGTGAGTAGAAGTGACTTACACTAGTGACTCCATGCCTCACACCTGTGCTCCATGGCATAAGCCCATCTGGCTACTGCAGGTCAGAGTTATTTCCTATGTGAAAAGAAATAATTTCCAGTTAATGCAGAGTTCTTCCATGTAATACTGAAATTTTTAGCGTTAAAGTCAGGAACAGAAATGCTCAAGCAGAAGTTCTGAGTATAGCAGGTTCCGTGTTTTAGTCTTTTCATTCACTTTAGACGTGGCTACCTTGCCTTTCCTCTCTGTCGTAAGAAACCCCCAAAGTACACCACGTTATATTTTCATCACGATGTCTCTCTTCTCACCCTTTTAGGTTTCGGATCAGAAGCCACTGGGTTGTTGGTCGGTTAAACATGGGCAGATTATCACCTGTCCAGTTGTATGCAACTTTGAAACTCATGAATATATAGCTGTTCATGATGACAAGGTGAGATCCTTTATCTTTTCTTAGAGGAAAAAAGATTGTAGTGAGTTTTCCAAGTGACTGTAGGTAGGGCCGAAGCCAGCGGTGCTGGATTTTTGGTGAAATGTACGTGCGTGGAGCTCTCCACACGCCGTGGCAGTTCAGCTCAGCTCTGCTGTGTGACGCAGTTCTGCGGCTGCACGTGTGTTCTCGTGCCGGTGATGGGAGACCAGCTGTGCCGAGCGCCAGGTGTGCAGCGGCCTCTTAAAAACTGCAGCGTTCTCAGTGAAGAATGCCTCACGCATGCGTTCTCCACGGACAAGTTATTTCTTTTGTTGCAGACTGGTTGGTGCTTAGAACTGTGTGATTACGGTACCAAAGTGATTCAAATAGTTCATACCTGCATCCATGTTTTTCTTCCCGTAGTTTACAGTTAAACATTCCCTGTTTGTGTATGTGTAGGGTTTGCTCAGCACATGCTGAACCTTTGGGGGTTTTTTTAATTGTTGATGAAATCATTTTCCTGACCTTTCATTGTTCTCCTTGAAACATTGTCTTCCAGATCAGGTCTCCATCACTTTGATCTACTTTCATTTAGAATTCTGCTGTATCTTTTTCCGTAACCTTACTTTCTCCTATCCTTCCTTTCCAATTCAAGATTTCTGAGCTTGGTTTGCAT